CCGTGTGTCCCACAGCAAGGTGGACCAGCGAAGGTGAATTGCACGTGAATTAGATTATACTGAGTAGACCTGCGCCGCATCGATTGCACTCTTTCCTCCACCCCCACCCAGGCCCGGCATCATGACCAAGTCAAGAAGACCGAGAGGCAGAAGAGGACACATGTGGTGGCGCGGCCGAAGCCGCCCTCCAAAGCGTGCCGGTACACCTGGCTCGGATCGCACAGATTGAGAGTGACATAGAGACCACATTAAGAAGGCGCCATAACAGCCTGACTCTCAGTCGGCCACTCCACACTTCCTAGTTAGTCAAATAGTATTGCCGGTAAAGACAAGGGACACTGGAGTGGCTATTTCTGGCTTAGTAGCCGTCGTCAGCCAGTCATACCCAGACCCAAGTGGCGTCCCACTCAAACCTCGAACTCGCGACCTCTTTGATCAAAGCCAAATGCCCTAACCATTGAGCCACGAGCTCGTTGTCTTGTCGGTTTTGGTTCGAGGATATTGACACTCTTTGACGAACGTTCACGCGACCGCTAACGGAACTCATCTGTCCCGCTCTGCCTAGGGTCTCGACAGAGTCCCTGACAGCCGTAGCAGCTGGTAGTGTAGGCAGATAGTATTGCCGGCAAGGGAGACAAGAGAGACGAGCTCGTGGTTCAATGTTTAGGGCGTTTGACCTTGATAAAAAGGCCGCGAGTTCGAGGTTCGGGTAGGATGTCACTTGGGTCTGGGTATGACTGGCTGAAGACGGCTACTAAACCAGAAATGACCACTCTAGTGTCCCTTGTCTTTACCGGCAATGCTTCCTGCCTATACTAATAACTGCTAGGGCTGTCAAGGACTCTTTCGAGACCCAAGGTAAAGCAGGACAGACTAGTTCCGTTAGCGGTCGGATGAACGTTCGTCACTGAGTTCCGAGTTAGCCCGTCAGTTAGCAATCTTCCAAGCCATGATTTATAGCACGCAGAGTGGTTATATTGAGGGAAATGCGCTGGCAGGCTCGGACAGCCGTTGGGAATGGAAAGTTAAGTCGACGGTGCCGAAAAGAGGCCAGAAACTTTGACGTCATCTGAAGAAAGACTAGGAATACACCCAAAGAGCGCCACTTGCTTTTCCCGGATGTCCTTGTCGCAGTGATTGTCAACTGTCGAGAGTGAATCAGAGTGCTTCAGTCAATTTACTGCTCTCGGAATGCGATGTTTTAAAGAGTATATCTTCGTTAGTTTCTCACGCCCACAGAAGAACACTTACAATCCTTTAAGTGGACTAACCACACGCAGGCGCACATCGGTTATTTATAATAGTAATAATTGTATATTTAAGACCCGGCGCCCCGTCACTACAAAGACAGAATGATAATACCGACAAAGAAAAGTGAGATATACGAAGACTAGCATAAACCCTGCAAAAGGCGACAATAGTGCAAGCACTCTGCTGGCTTGGCAGCCACGTGAGCGAGAGATATTCAGACCTGTACACTTCTTAAAACTTGCACTTGCGAAGGGTGACTTCGCCAGGTGCCATCAAATAGTGGTACACTGCATAGCAGAACTGTGAGATGACAACCGGGACGCGCTTGATTCCGGTGTCTGTTTTAAAAATCCGCAAAAAACTGACCAAATGCTTTTAAAAATGCAGCTTAGACCTACTTATTGGCCAATTGAGATAGCTAACCCTGTTGTCTCAACCATCCTGATGGCTTAGTAGTCTATTTTGTCAGAAAGTAGTGCTGGCTACCTACAACGTGCGGGCGTATAACCGAAGAGATAAGTGATTGTGGCGGACTCGAGCAAGCTTTCAGTCTCATGTTCTGCAATTCACATAACTCGTGTCTCAACTGACAAAACCCCTTGTGAGAGCATAGTCCGAAAACCGGGAAAAATGCAGCAAAAAACGACCAGTCGAGATACAGTCGAAGGGGGCCGCAGTAGACCAAGAAAAAGAAAGAAATTCAGGATAGCTGGCTAATCTAATGAAATGTCGACTAAAATTATGAAATTTGTTTTGGACTAGAAAGGAATATTTGAGTGGGGGGACGGTTGTGGATTAAGAAGTGCGCAGCATATTTTGAAGATATCTCATTCACCGCAGGATACCGGGGTTCTTTTCGGCTGCCTACAAAAATGCCTAGTAGGATACCAAATAGATTTTATAGAAAACCTGCATAAAATATAGTTTCTTTTTGTACTCATGCGGAGGCGAATTACGTTTTCATCAAATTTTACTCTTGAAGAAAAGCTATCGTTTGGTTTAATTTAAAAAAGAGATCTTTTTCACTTTCCAGAATAATTTTGCACCGGAACTTTAGCTGCACTCGCGTTGAGGATTTCCAAAATGCATGCTATATACTTTCCGCGCAAAGAAATCCACATATTCAGAAGAGTATATGGCGAGCATACGTAGCTTTCGATTTATCGAAAGCTACGTATGCTCGCCAAATACTCTTCTGAATTCTCTGATGGGAATTTTCGCAACATTAAAAATCCACATATTCCTCTAGGAAGAAGTCATACAGTCATGTCAATGGGCATGGCCCATACGATGTGCATATTTTACGATCATAAAGAGACACATTTTCCTTTAAGTTTGAAACTTGAATCAGACGTTATATGTTCCCAAAGGAATACACGAAAAAACACTGGTTGTGTATCATTAAAGAATATTGGAATTTGTAAGAGCATAGAAAACGAGTGAGAAAAAGTCCTCCTGCTTAAGCCGTGACTTTTACCATGGCCTGAAAAGAAATCGCTTTTAAAAGCCCGCATTCAAGAGATTATAATGCACGATAATCAATACTTCAACTCCATTTAAGCTATCCTTCCTAACTGAAAACGCAGTTCAGAAGTTTAGTCAACATTTCTCAAGATATGCCGGATCATGTAAAAGGAAGGGCTGCGTGGTTGTCCTACCTGGTGGTGTTGAACGATGCCTGATGACGAACCGCAAGTGCACACCGGGAACAAGGCCAGCAGGAGTGCAGACGGCGCCTGGGGATTGGGCCTCCATCAGTTCGTTTACGGAGTCTCCGCCAAGACTTTCCGACTGGGAGTATCGAGTGGCCGTTGGCTCGAAGGCCGCCTCCGGACGCCAGGGCAGGGTGATTCGCAGGAGTTCTGTCCATTTTGGACGATTAGAATGATAGTA